ATACAGGCCGACATCACGTGCAGCAGTACGAAACAGTCCATCGGCGTGATATTTACGCGTACGAATTTTGTCACGCTCAAGTACGTGACAGATTCGTGGGGCACGCGTGTCAACGGTTTTAGATTAATTATAACTGCCTTCAAAGATCCTTGTAAGTATTTTTTTTTTTTTATTTTTTATTTAGAGAGAGGGAATGTGAGAGTATGAGAGAGACACATACAGAAAGAGAGAGAGAGGATTCAAAACTCCATGCACCCATGCACTTCCCCTCCATCAAACAACGCCATACTTCTTCCTCCTATCCACCACTCAATGTTCCACCCTTGCGCTGGAATCGTGTCGTATACATGAGTGTATAAAATACCAATATCAAGCTTCTGTCTCATCGAATTTTAGTCACGGCCTTATTTGTCACGCACACAGCACACACACGCACAAAATTTAAATTATTTTAACATCRTATAATATATATTAATATATTATAATATAAAATGCATACACCCACTTAGTTATAACAAAATATATCATCAACAAAGCAACTTCCAGAACACTACCACTGTAATACCTATATTTGAAAAACCGTCGCCGTAGTCGTCGTCATCGAATATGATTATTTTGTATCTAATCAAATAACACTCTTCACATGATTAATATCCATAATATAATGTAATATATTTTCAATAATGCATCAAACCACGCTTCTACCACATTTATTTTCAGTACACAGCATGTGTCTCCATTTGAAATTCATATTTTATAGTAATAATATATACATATACAATATTATAGGTATAGTATTAGAAAAAAACAGCAATGTTATAATGTTTTCGCTTAGAGTAATATTATAATGTATATTTATTGTCTTTTCCACATATTATATGCACCATTTCCATCATCCGATTAAACAATTTCATAGCAGTTTGAATTCCGATTAAAATAATAATATTATTAATAATAATAATAATAACAACAATAAATCAAAATTTATAAAAACCATAAAGGTCAATAATAAAAACACGTCTGACTAAGCACTAATGGCATACGCTGCAGGACATCTAAATCAATATATTATAATATTTTTTTATGAACATTACCGAAAGTTCGATAAATCCACGTTAAAAAAACGTGTTTTTTCATCTGTTGTTCCAGTCCACAATTGCAGAGAGTTCAAATGTCAAACGATGTCGCAATGCATCTCCAACGACCTGGTGTGCGACAACATCAACCACTGTCCCGACGGTACGGATGAAGCGACGACGCCAACTTGTCAAGGTACGGCGAACGGTTAAATTATCATTTTTGCATTCAGGCTAGCTTTATGTAGAGTATAATAATGTTATACTTGACGACAAAATATACGTGTATCGAAAAGAGGAGAGGGCATTCTATTCGTATTTTACCAATTATCAAAATAATAAAACCATTGCGTTTATTATATTTTTATTTTTATTATTTTTCCGTCCTGACAGATGATACAATAATTTTATATAATAGCCTATGGAAGCGTACACACTCATTACACACATATACATACGTCATACATATTATAATAACATATAATAAAGCATAATGATACTATTATTTGATTCGCGTGTACAGATTTTCAAATTCAGAGCGGAGTGAGTTCTTTAAAATTAAAATAATTAATAATATTTGACGTTCATTTTTTAGGTTCTTTTTAAATATGCTCGGTATAATGTTATTATAACATAATATAATAATACAAGAATATAACACCTTATTATACTTAATAATTTACTACCTAAAATGAAAAAAATAATAATGCTGGAAGAATGTAAAATAACTCACAATGGTCTTAGCTAAACCTTGATAAACTTTTTGAAACCAAAACTTCTCTCGGAATTTTTTTTTTTTTGAGCAAGATCGATTGCTTTCATAAAAAGTAGCTCGTCTAATTATCTGTATCGGGTACTGTTGTTTATTTTTTATTCGTTTATCTTAAATTCCATTTAATATTATTGTTTGAAACAACATAGTAGGTACATACGCACTGAAACAGTACAAAAAAAACAACAACTGCAATTAAATCCTTCTGTGAAAATTGCTCCTAATTGGGATAGTTGAATATTCCAATCAAGTCCCATGTTTTATGCTATTTGAGATTTCAATTCAATATGATTATAATATTGAAAYCCCTCTTAAAGCACGTCATTAAATTATGACCATAATAGAGAATTATATAAATGCAAAATAACAATGTATTTCCGTCCGATTTTTTCAGACATTTAGGTTTCTGTTTTGACATTGTTTCTTGATGTGCGTATATWAAAAACTTTATATTTTGAATTTCATTAAACTTCTTCTAAAATTAAATATGTTTTTTTACTAATCTATAATTTTCAAACATGTCTAGTAATAATGTATCAACTAAGTAACCAGTATAATATAATTACCAAAATCTCTGATTTGCATTTGAAACGTACTATATTATAATGATCACCGAAATTTTTTAGTTTCGTGTAAAATAAAAAATTCAACTAATTGAACAATGTATTATTATTATYGGCKCCCGCACTATATGGTTGTAGCACTGTTCGTTAAACTGCGCACGGCAGCCCACCAAATATTTTTCAATAATAATATAATCTATCAATCGCCCGCTAAGACTCTCCAATGTCTTAACATAATAATTATTACATTTCT